AAAAGGTATTACACTGTGATTTTGATTTGTGTATTCCTGCTGACTTGCAAAGTCTCACATTTTGCATACATTTGTTCACCTTGCATGTTCTCTTTCTTGCATTTCTCTGTTCATGGGTCTTCTGTCCATCTTTCCATTTGGTTACTTGACTTTGACTTACAGATTTTCAGAAATTCTTTAGATAGTCTGCTACCAATGCTTCATCAGTTACCTCCACTGCAAATAAATTCTAATCTGTGACTGGTGTTTTCACTTTATTTACAGGAATGTGTTTTGAACAGAAGTTTTCAAATTTTAATGTCCAAGTCATCAACATTTTCTTCTACAGTTTGAGGGTCTATGTTAAAGAAATCCTTGTCTACCCTAAAGTCATAAAGCTATGACCTTTTCCCCCAAAAGTTTTCCACATTTTGTGTTTTTTGCAGTCACAGACCTCTTTGCTATTAAAAGCCAATCTGCCATCAAAGAACTGTCATGGATCCCCCCCCCCCCCAACACACACGCTTTGTTCCTAACCCAGCCTCCTTGCCCCCTTCTCTGGCAACTTTCTTCTCTCTCCACCTCCACCTCTCCTCACTTCCTCCCTCTGGTCCACTCTCTGCCTCCCTCGTTTCCAAACTCTCCTCCAGCAGTCATACAGAACAATTCCCCTCTCCCCGCCCCTCTCCCCGCGCCCAGCTCTAGCCTGTTGTGAGAGAGCCCTAACAATATGTCAGCTGTTATTTGCTTATGTGTGATTTCTCCACCTGCCACAATGCCCACTGCCAACGCCCTGCCCAGTTGCCCTGCTCCAGCTGCGGCTAGGCTCGGGGTAGCCAAACGCCCTGCACATCCATGCCCTGCCCCCTCCACCCGGTTCTCTGCTCGGGGAGCTGATGGTGCTTCCTGCAGAACGGGCTCCCTGGCACCCTGGCTGTGGGTTTCCCGCAGGCCCCCTGCTGTAAAATCAACACGAAGGTGCCGAGTGAGCGTGTTCAGTGTGTGCTCCTCGGGCTCCCTTCCTGCAGGGTTGCCTCGGACGGGCTTGTCCCACAACTGAAGGTCATGCCCTCTCAAGGCTGTGGACTCCATGCACATCCCCCTCCAGGGCCCAGAACTGCTCATCTTCAGAGTCCAGGCCCAGGGGTGGTAGCAACCCTGCAGCTGTCCCCCCAGGGTCCCTGCATTATTCCTCGTAGCCCCCTCCCCGCAAGTCACACCCTCTGAATACCCTGGTATCCTACCGTGAACAGGCCATGCATTCCCTGACGGACACTCCAAGGGCCCCCCTTTCTCCGTCAGAAACCCTTAAGTCTATGCACTAAGAAAGAACCCCCCTGCAAAAGTCTCAAAGGTTTCTGGGACACTTTCACCAGCGGTGACCATGTGTCCTGGCTGGGTCATTGTTCTCCTTGAGATGGGACGTCTTAAATATTTATGAGGATGGGTGAGCACAATGTAGGACCAACCTTACCGCCAGAAAGTCAAACCGTCCCTTAGCCTCCCCTTCTTTTGCCCTGAACTCGATAAAAGCAGAAAGGTAGAGGGAGGGGAGGGGGTCGGCAGGAGGGCCTGGTGAGAGGCCCAGGTTTTCCTAAGCACTTTGTCAAGGTCAAAAGCAGTAATCTCCTCCTATCCCCACCCCTGCCTGCTGGAAGTTAAATTCCATTAGAGAACGGCGCGGCTGCCAATAAGAGATAGAGCCGCAGCAGGAAGGGTATGTGCTTTGAAGCTGGACTTGCCTGGGCCGGGTGCCCAGCCTTGCCAATTTCTAGTTGGGTGGCTGGGGCAGGTCCCTCAGCCTCTCAGAGCCAGGTTTCCTGGTCCATAAAGCGAGGGGAGCAATTGCACCTTGTGGCATTGTCGGGAGGATTGCAGAGTGTATGTGAAGCATTTGACCTATGGCAAGTGCTTAGTCATTGCTCGCTTTTCTAGCCTCGTTCTTGTGATTACCATGAAAAACAGAACTGCTAAACATATTCTTTGAACGCAAGAAAAAAGCACATCTCTTTCAATGATGAAGCTAATAACCATTGACCTCTACTGCTTCCTCGTACAGATGAGGACTTTGAGGCCCAAAGGAGGTGAGTGGTTCGTCCAAGGTCACGCAGCAGTAGCGGAAACTGGTCTGGAACATTGGCTTTCTGAATCTCTTGCCACAATCTCATGCTGTGGCAGACACATCCTAGGGTGATCCACAGTGAATCATACCCTGCGTGATTCCCTCCCCTGGAGTGTGGGCAGGACCTGTGATCTGCTTCTAATCAATATAATATAGGACATCACTCGCATGGTTATGTTTCATTGTATAAGACTGACTTAGCAGACTAGAGTGAGAGAGATTCCCCTCCTGGCCTTGAAGAATTAATAGCCATGCCATGAAATGCCTTCGGTGCAGGCCAGGAGGCAGAGATCTGTGGGTGCCTCCAGGACCCAAGAATAGCCTCCCGCTGAAATCCAGTGAGAACGTGAGGCCTTCAGTCCTCCAACCACAAGGAAATAAATTACGCCGACAACCTGCGTGAGCTCAGAACGGAGAGTTCCCCAGTCGAGCCTCCAGATAACAGCACGGCTCTGATAACACCTGGACTACAGCTTGTGAGCCTGAACTCCTGACCTGCAGAAACTGAGACAGTAACTGGGTTGTTTTAAGCTGCTAGGTTTGTGATAATTTATTGTGCCTCATAGAAAACTAACACACACACCGTCCTTCTGAGTCCTCCTAAATCGGGAGAAAATATCCCACGTTTCCTACACACAGTAGATGGCCAGCCCCTTTGTTACACCTTAGCTCATTCATTGATTGGCTGAGCACCTGGGCTCTGGGCTGGCCCATGTCAATGCCAGGTGTTATGCTCTCTCCATCAGTCACATCGTAGGAGACCTCTGGCTTCCAACAGGTGCACGGCTGCCCAGCCTCCTTGCCGGGAGATGTAGCCATGTGACTCAGTTCCGGCCAGGGCATCAGAGCAGAGGTGATGTGTGCAATTTCTGAACTGTGTTCTTAAAGACCGGGGAGCACCCTCCCTCGCCCCTGTCCTTCCTTCCAGTTGAATGCAGCCATAGTGAGCCATCTTGGGTATGCACTATGTGCAATAGCAAATGCTGTGCTCACCACCCAGACCACCCTGCAGGACCAAAGGACTTATCACCCCTGATGCTGGGAGACAGTCTTCTCTGGACATAACGTCAGCTGAAGAGATGCTTTGCCTGGAGCCACAAGCCTTCTGGGCCATGTGAGGATATAAAGGCCTAGCCCCTCACCCTTGTCTGGGACACCCCTGAAGGGATAGGCCAGCCTTGGAGCTCCTCGTGGGGCATTTAACCAGACTCATCAAGAAGAAAAGAGAAGGGACCCAAATAAATAAAATCAGAAATGCAAGAATAGAAGTGATAACTGACACCGAAGGAATACAAAGGATTGTAAGAAGATATTATAAACAACTATATGCCAAAAAAATTGAACAATCTGGAAGAAATGAATAAATTCCTGGAAACATATAACCTTCCAAAACTAAATCACAAAGAATCAGATAATCTTAATAGACAGATCACGACTAGTGAAATTGAAGCAGTAATCGAAAAAACTCCCAACAAACAAAAGCCCTGAACCAGATGTCTTTACAGGTGAATTTTACCAAGCATTCAAAGAACTAGCACCTATCCTTCTCAAACTATCCCAAAAAATTCACCCTGGCTGGTTTGGCTCAGTGGTTAGAGCGTTGGCCTGCGGTCCTGAGAGACCTGGGTTCGGTTCCCGCTAAGGGCACGTACCTCGGTTGCAGTTTGTCCCCGGCCCGGGTTGGGTCGTGCGGGTTGCAGCCACTCTATGTGTCCCTTTCACGTCGATGTTACTCTCTCTTTCTCTCTCTCTCTCTCTCTCCCTCCCACTCTATCTGAACAAAATATCAAAAAATATCCTCGGATGAGGATAAAAAAAAAAAAATTCAAGAGGAAGACTCCCACTCTCGTTTTATGAGGCCAGCATTATTCCAATTCCAAAACCAGATCAAGACACAACAAAGAAATAAAATTATAGGCTAATATCTCTGGTGAACATAGATGCTAAAATTCTCAACAAAATATTAGCAAACCAAATCCAGCAATACATTAAAAAGATCATACACCATGATCCAGTATAATTTATTCTGGGGATGCAAGGTTGGTACAATATCCACAAAGCAATCAACATCATACACAACATAAACAAACTGAAGGATAAAAACCACGTGATCATATCAATAGATGCAGAAAAAGCATTTGATAAAATCCAGTATCCATTTATGATGAAAAACTCTTAGCAAAGTGGGAATAGAGAGAATATACCTCAATGTATTAAAGGCCATATATGACAAACTCACAGCCAACATCATACTCAATGGGCAAAAACTACAAGCATTCCCCTTAAGATCGGGAACAAGACAGGGATGTCCACTTTCACCACTCTTATTCAACCTAGTACTGGAAGTTCTAGCCACAGCAATCAGACAAGATGAAGAAATAAAAGGCATCTAAGTTGGAAAGGAAGAAGTAAAACTGTCATTATTTACAGATGACATGATATTATATAGAGAGAACCCTAAAGATGTCACCAAAAAAACTACTAGGCCCGCCCTGGCCGGTTTGGCTCAGTGGTTAGAGCGTCGGCCTGCGGTCCAGAGAGACCCGGGTTCGGTTCCCGCTAAGGGCATGTACCTCGGTTGCAGTTTGTCCCCAGCCCTGGTTGGGTTGTGCGGGTGTCAGCCACTCGATGTGTCCCTTTCACGTCGATGTTTCTCTCTCTCTCTCTCCCTCCTGCTCTATCTGAACAAAAAATGGGAAAATCTCCTTGGGTGAGGATAAAAAAAACCTACTAGGCCCTTCCAGCATGGCTCAGTGGTTGAGCATTGACCCATGCACCAAAAGGTCACCTGTTCCCCTGGTCAGGACACATGCCCAGGTTGTGGGCCCAATCCCCAGTTGGGGGCATGCAGAAGGAGGCCAATTGATATTCTCTCTCATTGATGTTTCTGTCTCTCTCTCCCTCTTTCCTCCTTTCTCTCTAAAATAAACAAAGAAAAAAAAACTACTATAACAGATATATGAATTCAGTAAAGTAGCAGGATGCAAAATAGATATCCAGAAATCAGTTGTATTTTTTTTAGAGAACACTGTATCTCTTCCTCGTGGTGTTGGGTGCTCTACACTATCAGAGAAACCTCTCTAGTAACAAACTATAGAAATGACCCCTGAAAGTATAGTCTTTTTCTTTTCTTTTTTTTTTTCAGTTGTATTTTTATACACTAATATTGAACTATCATAGAGGGAAACTAAAAAAAAAAAATCCCATTCACAATTGCTTCAAAAAGAATAAAATATCTAGGAGTAAATTAAACCAAGGCTATAAAAGACCTGTACTTGGAAAATTATAAGACACCGAAGAAAGAAATTAAGAAAAATACAAATAAGTGTGAACATATACAGTGCTCATGGATAGGAAGAATTAACATCATTGAAATGTCCATACTATCCAAAGCAATCTTCAGACTCAACGCAATTTCTACCAAGATATCAATGTCATTTTTCACAGAACTAGAAAAAATATTTCAAAAATTTATATGGAACCACAAAGACCCCGAATAGCAACAATAATCCTGAGAAAGAAGAACAAAGTTGGAGGACTCACACTACCTGATATCAAACTATATTATAAGGACATAGTAATAAAAATAGCGTAGTCCTGACATAAAAATAGACATACAGATCTATGGAACAGAACAGAGAGTCCAGAAATAAATTCACACCTTTAAGTCAATTAATATTTGACAAAGGATGGCCCTGGCCAGTTTTGCTCAGCGGTTAGAGCGTTGGCCTGCGGACCAGAGAGTCCTGGGTTCAGTTCCTGCTAAAGGCATGTACCTCGGTTGCAGTTTATCCCTGACCCGGTTGGGGTCGTGTGGGTGGCAGCTGGTAGATGTGTCTCTCTCACATCGATGTTTCTCTCTCTCTCTTCCCCCCTCTCTTCCTCTCACTCTATCTGGAGATAAATGCCAAAATGTCCTCAGGTGAGGGTAAAAAAAAAAAATTGATGGAGGAGGCAAAAATATACAATGAACTAAAGATAGGCTGTTCAATAAATAGTGTTGGGAAAATACATGCAAAAAAATGAAACTAGACCACCTTTTTATACCATACACAAAAATAAACTAAAAATGACTGAAGACTTAAATATTAGACTCAAAACCATAAAAATTCTAGAACATATAGGCAGTAATATCCCGGACATTTCTCATAGCAATATATTTTTTTAAATATCTCCTAGGGCAAGGGAAACAAAAGAAAAAATAAACAAATGAAACTACATCAAACTAAAGAGTTTTTGCACAACAAAGGAAACCATCAACAAAATGAAAAGACAACCCACTGAATGGGAGAACATATGTGCCAGTGATATATCTGATAAGGGTTAATATTCAAAATTTATAAAGAACTTATAAAAATCAACACCGAAAAAGCAAACAATCCAATTTAAAAATGGGCTAAACGTCGGCCTGAGGTCTGGAGAGACCCGAGTCCGGTTCCCGCTAAGGGCACGTACCACGGTTGCTTGGATCGTGCAGGAGGCAGCGACTTGATGTGTCCCTTTCATGTCAATGTTTCTCTCTCTCTCTCTCTTCTTCTCTCTCCCTCCCACTCTGTCTGAATAAAAGATGAAAAAATGTCCTCAAGAGAGGATTAAAAATAATAATAATAATAATAATTAAAAAAAAATAAAAGTGGGCTAAAGACCTGAAGCCAATAGACATATGAAAAAATGCTCAATGTCACTAATCATCAAAGAAATGCAAATTAAAACCACAATGAGTTATTACCTCACACCTGTCAGAATGGCTATAATCAATAAATCAACAAACAACAAATGTTGGTGAGGATGTGGAGAAAAGGGTATAGCCACTGTGGAAAGCAGTATGGAGTTACCTCAAAAAATTAAAAATGGAACTGCCTTATGATCCAACAAGTCCACTTCTGGGAATTAATCCGTAGGAACCTGAAACACTAATTCAAAAGAAAATATGTATCCCTGTGTTCACTGTAGCATTATTTACAATAGCCAAGATTTGGAGGCAGCCCAAGTGTCCATCAGTAGATGTGTGGATAAAAACGTTGTGGTACATTCACACAATGGAATACTACTCTGCCGTTAAAAAGGAAGAAAAATATACCCTTTGCGACAGCATGGAGGACCTGGAGAATATTATGCTAAGTGAAATAAGCCAGTCAGAGAAAGACAAGTACCATCAGATTTCACTCATATGTAAAACTTAATGCACACACTGAGCCACCAAGCAAAATGGAGACAGACTCATAGATAGAGAGCAGGCAGACAGCTTTGGTGGAAGAATGTTGGGGGACAGGCTGGGGGCGTTGAGCAAAAAAGAAAAGAAGAGAGAGAACTCGTGGACATGGACAACAGTGTGGTGATTGCAGGGGTGGGGAGGGCATAGAGGGGATAAATGGTAATGGAAAAATTAAATAAGTAAAAAAACAAAAAAAGGAGGAGGAGGAGAGATAAAGACGAAAGAGGAAGCGATGGAGATGAAAAGCAGGAAAAGGCGATGGAGATGGAGGAGGAGGAGGAGAAACAGTAAGCTACGGATTTGAGGACAGCTGTAGAATATACTATTAAAGGAAAAAAGCAAGATGCCTGAGAGTGGATATTGTATTCTTATTTTTGAAAAGGAAGGATAAGAATATATATTGTGTGTGTTTTCATCTCCATAAAAAAAGGAAATTAAGAAACTAATGAAAGTGAACACAGGGTGCAAGAGCATGAGCGAGAGTTTGCAACCTCTCTCTCGATTTAGATGATCGTCCTGTGGATTTTCACCATTCCAGACATGAAATACAGATTCTTGGGCTTTGCCAAGGAGCCTGAAGCAGCTCATGCAGCTCTGCTGACGGACACTTCTGCCGGGCATGAGGACATTGTTCTGGATAATTTCATCAAAGGTTTGAACAACACCCAACAACCAGCCAGCAGCTAAACATCCAGGTGGTGCTGGTTTCTGGGACAGGAGCCAGCCCACTGGAAGCTCCATTGAAAGCTGCCTTTCATTCCTGGGCGTCTCCTGCCGGCGTGTGTGAGCCGGGGCTCCCAGGGTGGAAATCCACCGCCTTCCCTGGCCTCCTTGGCTCCCGCAAGCCCAGTGCTGCTCCACATCCCTGTTGCCACAGCAACGACAGACACAATGGTTTCTGTGGAGTTCGAGTCTATAAATAACTTCTAGATCAGTCTTTCCAGTGTGCACGGGGTGGGCTCGGCAGGGCGGGGTGTGTGGTAGTCAGTGGGCCAGGCCATCGTCCACAGGAAATGGCCATCCACGCTCGAGGAAGCAAGGTCTCGGTCTGCTCGTCCAGCTGGGCACGGGCGGCCTTGCCCCGGCCCACGGCAGCCTTCGCTTCGGAGGGGGCATATCTGGCACTGTCCCTTCTGGTCTGTGCATCTCAGTGATGCAGACACCTGAACCGCCTACACCGGGCCAGGGGGCTATGTGGGTTGGGGTGGCGGAAAGGGTTAATAACCCTTTCTGGTGACTTGGGAACTGAAGTGCTCGGAGGAGCAGACTTGGAGCTGTTTCCGCGCTGGCAAAGGGCAGTGTCTACTCCACGTCTCGGTCTGGCTGGGTGAGCTCTGGCAGCACGGAGGGACCGGGGCCAGAGGATCTGGACCTAGTCTCCCTGACTCCCTCGGAGCAGCCAGCAGTTCTGCTGATGTTCCGAAGATGCCCTTTCCAACTGGTCCCCTTCGTTACTTATTTACTTATTCATTTTATTTTTTTTATAATCCTCGCCTGAGGATATTTTTGCATTTATCTTCAGATAGAGCTGGAGGGAGAGAGAGAGAAACATCGATGTGAGAGACATGCATCGACTGGCTGCCCCTGCACAACCCCAACCGGAGCCGGACACCAACCACAACCGAGGTACATGCCCTTGGCCAGAATCGAACCCAGGACTCTTGAGTCTGCAGGCAATGCTCTTACTGCTGAGGCATACCGGCCAGGGCTTACTTATTTATTTTAATAATAATGTTTCTAACAAAGGACTCCCATTTCCCAGTCAAGAGTTGAGGAGGTGGATTCTGTCACTTGAAAATCAGGCCAACTGAACACCTTTGCTCTCTGATGAGAGCGAATTGCCTGGGACTCTGGGGAAGGGCTCCTGGCCCACGACACGCTGCATGGCGTCAGGAGCAGGGCGCAGTTCTGACACATGGTGGGCAGGAGTGGGCGTGGGGTAGGGTAGCCCCTTTGGAGGGCCACGAGATGACAACTGTCTGCACTGAGACATGCAGCAGCTCCACCTCTTCTCTTGGGGTCCCACCCCGGCATGTGTGTACCAAGGCACCTCCCACAGGCGCACAAGGAGCGATGCTCCATGCAGCTCTATTTACTATAACAAAGACCGAGAACAGCCTGCTGTGTATCAGGAGCGAGGAGTGGATCAGCACAGCCGGCACCCATATACCAACAACCAGCACACAGTCAGACGCAAAGGAAGGGTCTGTGAGAGAGGATGCGGATAAATTAGGGAAAAAGAGCAAGGTACAGGGATGCTCCCGCTTATGTAAGAAGCAATGTGTAATATATGGTGAACGTGCACGTATATATATGTATGCACATATAGGGGATCTATGTACATGCATATGTCTATGCATGGCCACATATGTATGTGGATAGGGAGTATTTCTGAAAACACAAGAAACTGATGACTTTGCTTAGCTCTGAAAAGGCCAGTGTGGTACCATGGGATCTGGAGTGGAAGGAGACTTTTGATCGCATGTTTTTCTATAGCGTTTGGGCTTTATTTTCTTATTTGTATACGTTAATTTTTCAATGAAAATAGAGTGGAAGCGTGAAGAAAAAGGAAGGGAGAGAAAGGAAAGGAGGCAGGAGGAAGGAAGGACGTTGGGACGGGAAGCAAACATCTTCATTTCTTCTCATTCTCAGGCCTCCAGAGCTTTCAGGGTGTGCGGCTGGAGGGTCAGAGGTCACTGGCCTTACCGGGCTTTTGGTTAGAGACCCAGCAAACGCAAACCAGGTAGGGGAGCAGCTTTCTCTGATGCTGCATCAGCTCCTGGGCTGCTGGGAACAGCTTCCTGAGAGGCAACGGGCAAGCTGGGGATCTGTCTCCCCCGCAGAGAGGGCGGCTGCCGTTTGGGGTTCTCTGAGAAGCTGAACCAAAAGCAACTCTCAGGGGGCAGC